CTTCAGCACCTTTGCGAGCAACCAGTTACTGTTACCCACAGGTTTCCAGTTTCAACCTGTCCCTGAGGGAGATGGCCAGGAAAGGGGTTGGAGCTCAACTGCACCTGGCCCAGGTGATGCAGCTCCCTAGGGGATGGGAATAAGTGGGGGGGTCACGTGACAAGACGCAGCCTGTGGCTAGGACCCAGGCCTGCTGAGAGATAGAAGGGCAGCCTGTGCTCAGCCAGGAGAGAGACCCCAAGGGAAGCAGGCATGGGAGGGGCTTGGAGCGTCCTTTAAAGGGCAGGGACAAGCTGGGAAGGGGCCAGGCTGAGCACTAAGGGACAGACCCTAGGAGGGAAAGACAGGGCAGTTTAGGAGATGGGGCAGATAGTCCAGTTGGTTTCGGCTCCCAGGACCAGACACCCAGAGGTGAAGGGGGTTGTCGGGGCTTCTGTCCTTCTTCCCCAGTGTAGATTTGCTAGTGGAGAAGACTGATGCCGTAAGGGGGAAGTGAGTTACCCCAAGGTCACCCAGTGAGTTTATATCATGAATGCATACTCGGAAGGATCCAATAGAAACATGGGAAGTATCAGAGGGGTAGCCGTGTTAGTCTGAATCTGTAAAAAGTAACAGAGGGTCCTGTGGCACCTTTAAGACTAACAGTATAGGTCACTTGTGGGGTTAGTTGTGGACTTTCTAACTTTGCAACACCACATGAATACAATGATGGCTGACAGAATGCACTTTGACACACACACACACCCTGCCCGGCCCGCCTCACCCCACCCCAAAAAAAGCTGCCATTTTGCAACTGTCATGGGACCTCTGGAGCTTCACACGTGAGCCTCTGCTGTAGGGTTCTCAGCCTATTTACCATTGGGGGCTGCATATGCCGTGCTCTGCGTTATGTGGGCTGTAGCTACACAAGATGTAATACCAGGGCCGTGATAGATATAGCTGGGGGGCGGGGGGGTGAATGAGCCGGTTTCTGTCCAAGAGTCTGGATTGCTCTGGGCTGCTGATCCCGGCAAGGTCATTGTGAATCCCTGTGCTGAGTGCTGAAGGTGGCCTGGGAAAAGCATGTGTGGGGAGGGGGAGGGGTGTCTATGTTAATCCCGGCTGAAATAAATGGCCATGCCATTGCTAGGTTTAGTGAGCTCGGTTCGTGAGAAAGGCGAACAAATGAGAATTTCATTCCTGATTTGTGCTAGAGATAAATGTTTCAAAGCATCATACTGTAAATGGCATTTTTT